TGATTTTTTTGGAGAATTTTGGCTAAAAAGTAAAGAAAAATTTTGTGTTTACATACAAAATATTTTAATGTGTGAAAAAAGTTTGAAAATAATAGTTGTCAAATAGGGGATGAATGCATGTTTGAATAAGTTTAATTTTGTAATAAATAAATTTTATCAATTAAAGTTAAAAATGAATGACTTATTTTAACAATAAGATGCAACATGTTTGACTAAGTTTAAAAGTAATTAAAATTTTTTATGTATATTTTCTTATAATGCTTATTTTTACTTATAAGTAAAAAAATTTCCTTATATTTAATTTTGTTAGTAAAATGAATATTGGCTAAATACTTATTTATTTATAAATTAATCTGATTATAAATATATTATTGAAGTGAATCAAATATACGTGTAAAAAAGTTCAATTTCTTTGGACTCTCAATATTCTTGGTTGATTTTTTTCATTCTGGGTGTGATTATAATGTGTTTGGCATAGAAGGCTGATGACCACGTTGGATAGTATTTTGTAAACATTGACATATAATCATGTATTTTTTGCTGTGCTTTGGTCAAAATTTTCAATTAATATTTGGAATATTATGCCTTGAAGAGGACTTGAATCTCCATGCTCTTTAGCACAAGATTTTGAATCTCGCGTGTTTACCATTTCACCACCAAGACATCTAGAAAATAGGTTTGTGTCCTAAAAAAGTATTTATTATTAGAATTTTCAATGGGTTGAATTTTGATCCGAATTCGATGAAATTAATAAGAGATGAATTTAATGTTTGAACTCGATAATCCGATCAAAATTCGAATCCAATACTCAGTTAATACTCAGTTAACTAAATGGAGCAAATATGGATGGATTAATTCATTTCAATAACAATACCTAATCTGATTTGTTATAATAATAATATATATTTTATATATTACCGCATAATTTATTATACAACCATTTTTCTTTTCCATTCCGAAACTTCTATTATACTTTATGATTTTCAGGGTTCGTTTGATTGCAAAGATGAAATTTGAGCGGAAAGGAAACGAATTTCAGGGAACTGAATCACCTAGAAATTGTTTTATTGGGAATTGTCAATTATTGTATTTGATTGATATAATTTTCACATGAAAATTGTTGAAATAAAAGTGTTTTTTGGTATTCATTTGACTTTATTTTACATGAAAATTGTCAATTAAAAGAATCGAATTTACTGTTATTGGGGACATAATTTATTTCTATTGTAAAAAAAAAAGTCAAAAAAATCATCTATCTTTTGATATTTGTTTGACTTTGTTTTACATGGTGATATTAAAGGAAAATATTTTTTTTGCAATTAGAGATATAATTTGTTTTCATTGTCAAAAAAATAATAAAAAAAATCGACCAACAACCTAAAAAATGAATTCTCACCATATCATCAATTTGGTGGAAAATGGCTGAAGTGGCATGAAATTGGGAAAATGAATTGTCTAGAAAAATATACCTATCAAACATGCATTTTTTGTGGATTTTCCATGAAAAATGAGCCTTATCAAATAGAGCCTTAATGAAGAATGTCAAATCTATCAAATTATATATATATATATATATAATACATTTTGTATTGAGATTGAGAATTCCTTCTTTTCAATAATAATTAAAAAAAGAAGAAGAATACGTGTAAAATATTTCATATCAAACTATTAGTTTGAATGTTCGATAACATAACAATTTGAATATGAATTTAACAATCAAATATCCATTGAATTATCAAATCATATCGGATCCATGAATTATTCTTATCAGATCAAATATTGGTAGATCATATCCATATCCAATCCATTTATAGCCCTATTTATTAAGTAGGAAGCATTTATAATTGAAGTTTTAAGTATGCATAATTCAAAATTCAGGTCACAAGTTTCATTAATGCAAAAATCAGGTTTTAACTAACTAACTAATTAAAAATATTTAATAAATAATGATAATAAAGTCATAGTTATATGGTTAATAGCCATAGATTCACAATTGTAGGTCACAAATTTATTTACTGATCACATATCATCAAATTAATTAGTCACAGATTTGTTCGACGTCACAAATCATAATTTGTAGGTCACAGCTCACATCATTGGTCACAAATTCAAAAAACTATAAGTTACGGGCCATATATTTTCAAATTTGATGGTCACAGATTGCTTTTTATTAACAAATGATCGAATTTTAATGTCACAATTTATGGTTACAGTCATAGATGGGACCAAATAGTTGGTTATAGACATCCAACGTTCGATCCCAACACCACCACCGCATCCACCAACACCAACAATTGGTCACAGGTCAAATAGTCGGTTACATTCCACCACCAACTCCAATGCCACCACTACCACTTACAACAACTTTTACCCGTCACCATCATCACAACCACAACACCACCACCACTTCACCACCAACAAAATCGTCCCCACCAGAAATCACCACGATCGTCACCACCAAACACACCAACAATACCCAACCCATAACCTCACCAGTCCCACGACCAACACAACCACCAGCAGAAACCATCGCAGCCACCAGGACCACCACGACAGCCAGGAAACACCTCCAAACACACCTAACAATACACCACCTCTCAACCTCACCAATATCACTGCACCCACAGTACCACCAACTTGAAACACCACCATTGCTGCACTACCACCACACCACCAACAAACACTCCTATCCCATGGCGTCCCACCACAACCACCGCCACCACTTCCACAACTACCACCGCAACTAATATTACAACCACATCCCTCCCAAATCCACTAACAATTAGATCCTACTACCAACATTACCACCACAACCATGGCCAATATCTTGAAATACAACCAACAAAACCTCAAAATCACTACCTACAGATCGGAAAGTGAAAGAGATAACACCCCAAAACCACAAATCCCCTCCCCACGCCAGCACAAGTCACTGTTCAAAGAGTTGTTGTTCAAACCTACAACCGCTGCATAGTTTTGTCGCCGTTCGCACCGATCGCCTATCGCAGCGTCGTCGATCGCAGGGAATCAACTTCATCCGAGAATTGTCGGCAGTCCCCGATGTTAGAGCGTTGGCCGACAGTGGGCGCTTCTCAATGCAGGGATGGTCAGGGAGGAGAGAAATGCCTGCTTTTATATAATTTCCTCTATTATGTATTTTATTTGTTTTTTATTGGTGTGTATATACTATATAACATTTACTCATGCTCTCCCCATTTTAAATTTCCTAAACATAAATCTTCGATTTGGCAAGGACAGCCATGTAGACTTAATAATTGTATTTGCCCAATTAGTAATTGATCTGCTTTGTTACAAATGTCGTAAATTTAACAATTTAAATTAGATCTTATGTGTTGCAGAATATCTTTTATTGCGTGAATTCATTTATATATATATATTTTTAAATCTCAGCTCACCAAAATCTTTTTCTAGCTTCACCCTTGAATGAACACTAATGCAGTAATTTTAGAGTAAGATCAAATATGTGGCATAATTTCTTCTTGTTCTTATTAAAATACAGTGGGGGACCGGACATTGCCACCCCTAAATTGACATGCTCCTCTTACATATCATTGTCGCCGTGCAACTGTACACTTACATACATGCAGTTTGACGTAAAATCAACAGCTTACATAGCCACAGAGTTATACTTCTCTACAATATAATATTTTCAGGGTACTCAGCAGCTTCCCAAATTAAATCCCAAATTTTAAGATAAGTGCATGCACCTTATAAACAAATATTCATGGACTGCATTGAAATCTAAGAGTGATCTTTATCCACGCTTTGGCAGCTCATAATTAATCGAATCCAATTAAATTAATAATCGTGCGTCAACTTAAATGAGGTGGAGGCTATTTAAGGAAAGTCTTCCACGTACAAACCCCTAAATTTTTTATGAATTACACATTAAATAATGCTATTGCTAGACACGTAAATTCTTTAACGCGCAAAAATCAGACAAGTGTCCAATTTGTATTTTATTTATTTGATAATTAATTAAATTTTGATTTAGAAGAGATTAACATGAAGATGTCTCGTGAAACCCGAATGGAGGCAGAAGTTGGAAGTTTAAATCATTTAATTAATGTAAATTTTCCACTTAGTGATCTCATACTTGGTGCATCTGTCTAATTCTCCAAGTAATTAAATCATATTATATTAATTATTTAACAAGAATAGTGAGTACGTAAATAATAAAAGGTAACCATGTAAGACAAGCAAACTATATACGTTGAAGCAATATTTTTGACCTTTTTGAGACAGAAGATCTGAGTATGTAGATTTAAAACAATAAATTAATGTTTGACCAAGCATCATCATATTTCGTTAGCTAAACGGTGGATGGATCAATTACCTGAATTCTAACGACTTTGAATTGGATAGACTGCTACTGTAGAAAAAGCAACAAAGCATGTTATGCTACAAATCTAAATGTGGTCTAAAATAAAAGGGGCCACGCATACCTGTGGATGTGAAGGCGCAGACTTGTTTTCAGCGAATGATTAAAGATAGAAATAATCATTCGTCATTGATTTATACGTGGATGGTCAAGAGTGCCATAATTGAGAACTAGGGTTCCGGAGATAAACAAGTGTTTCTCAGACATTTTAGAGCGGTTTTTTTGGAATCAAGTTCACAACGGAATTTTGACCTTTTGAGTTATTTGCCAACATAATCTCCACGGGATTGTTATACATAGCCATGACTTATATACATTATGCCAATAATTATTTAAATTTTAGTTTGTAAGTATTAACGGATACAAATATGTCAACATTGTTAATTGATAAATTAAAGGAATTAGACAAATTATGGAAGATTAATTACATTTTACTGATTTCATTTTCCTAGAATAGATACAAATCTTATGTATATAATTCTTTGTAATATTACTCTTTGAACACATCAATATACAGAACCATTTTTACATAGTATCAAAGCACCGATCTTGGTGACTCCATAAACCAAAAACACCTCCGGCAACCACATTAAATTAAATGGCCGACAACACAGAAATCATAAATGAGAATTCCACCACTCAACACGGTTCAGAAAATTCGAGCCTCACCATGAATGAGAATCCACTCACTCTACACAGTTCGGATAATCCGAGCCTCATCTTGGTTTCCAAAGTCCTTGAACCACACAACTATGGACAATGGAGTCGAGCCATGCGCATCGGTCTTAGTGCAAAGAATAAGATCGGGTTCATCGACGGATCCATTGAGATTCCATCACCCACAGATAAAACTTTTCATTCTTGGCAACATTGCAACGATATGGTGTTGCCATGGATCCTGAATTCTATGAGTCCAGACATTGCTTCCAGCGTAATTTACATGGATTTGACATCGACTGTATGGAAAGATCTCTATGATCAGTTTTCACAAGGGAATGAATCAAGAATTAACCAAATTCAGCAAGAAATTGTTGAACACCGACAAAATTCAGATTCAATCTCCGTCTACTTCAACAAAAAGAAAGCTTTATGGGATGAAATAGCCTTCTATCAGGAACCATTTACCTGTACATGTGGAGGACTGAAGAAAGTCAATGAAAGAATGGAAAAGGAGAGACTTATGCAATTTCTTATGGGATTAAATGAAACCTATGCTGCAGTTAGAGGAAGCATATTAATGATGAGTTCACTGCTGGATACTCGAAAGGCCTTTTCCATAACCCTGCAACATGAACGGCAACTCGACGTCGCCTCATGACATGAAGGAACCAACGGCAATTTTCAAGCCATGGCTGTAAATCAGTTAGGCAAACCATTTAAGGGCAGTAGCTCACGTGAAATCACTTCCTCTCGCACTGGAGGAGCATCCCGAAAGACATCCAAATGCACGTATTGTGATCAAGAGGGACACATGGTGGAATACTGTTACTACTTGAATGGTTTTCCAGTTGGCCACAAATTTCATGGTAAAAACATCCAGCCGAAGAATAGGAGGGCTGCAGCAAATAATTCGAGCATTAGTCAAGAAGATGCTCAAAAAGTGCAGCCAATCAAACAAGAAGGCCGAACCTTCACAAGTGAGGAATACAATCAAATTATGGCCATGTTGAACAAAATGAATGGTAATGCCTTTGCAAATGCCGCAGGTAAACAAAATTCGCCCACAACTTTATATTGGATTATAAATAGTGGAGCCACAGATCATATCTGCCATCTACAACCTATAAATCTAATTCATCAATATGATTTTGTGAACTTACCTGATGGTAGAACAGCACCAATTAATTCTGTTGGTTCCTACCAATTATCTGAAGAATTGAAACTTGATGGAGTGTTACATGTGCCAAAATTCAGGGTGAATTTATTCTCCATAAGCAAACTTACTAAAGCGTTGAATTGCACAGTAACCTTTTTTTCGGATTTTTGTGTTATTCAAGACGTGGACACGAAGAGGATGATTGGCCTGGGCAAGCAATAAAACGGCCTTTTCTACCTTTCATCACATCAAAATCCGCACCTTGCACTTCACGTAAACAATGTCTCTAGTCTTTGGCATCAACGACTTGGGCATCCATCCACCACACCCACCAAGTATTGTCCAAATCCATACCTGAAATAAGTTTTGATAACAAACATGTATGCGAGGTTTGCCCATTAACAAAGCAAACTCGTTTACCTTTTCCTTCTAGTTCAATTTCATCATTTGCACCTTTTGATTTACTCCATTGTGATTTATGGGGACCTAATAAATAAATTCTCATTCTGGAGCAAAGTATTTTTTTATTAATGTAGACGATTTTTCACGCTTTATATGGGTTCATCTTATGACTTTTAAATCTAAAGCACAATCTTTATTGCGATCATTTTTCACATGGGTTAAAACTCAATTTAATTGTGGGATTAAGACATTTCGTTCCGATAATGGGGCTGAATTTTTATCAATGCAACCTTATTTCAATGATCATGGCATAACTTTCCATCGCACATGCCCTTACAGTCCTCAACAAAATGGAGTTGTTGAAAGAAAACACCGTCACCTTTTGGTTGCTCGAGCCCTTCATTTCCAAGAAAACTTACCGTTAAAATATTGGGGAGAAAGCATACAAACGGCATGCTATCTCATTAACCGACTACCAACACCATTATTGTCCCTCAAAACCCCATACGAAATTTTTCATGGTAAACCACCCTCATACTCACACATTCGAGCATTTGGTTGCCTTTGTTATGCTACTAACCCCAATCCTAAGCATAAATTTGACGCTCGAGCAAAATGGTGCATATTTCTTGGCTACCCATAGGGACAAAAAGGATATAAAGTCCTTGACCTTGACACTTATCGCATATTTCCTCATGAGATGTCCTTTTTCATGAGCACACATTTCCTTTTACCCATAAACCCACTGAAAACCAAGATGATGAACCTGTGCTTCCCAACTCCCTCATTTTACACCCATCTATGGAATCGAACCCAACACATAACCCCACTCATGACACTCCAGAACCTATCAACTCAATCCCCTTGCAAGATTTTAACACTTCACTGACCCCTCCACCAGATACTCAACACATTGAAGTTTTCGCACCACAACCTCACTCAGACCAGATTACGGAAACCAACACTCTCCACCACCTCCTTTACATCATTCAGAACGACTCACCAAACCTCCATCCAAATTCCAAGACTTCCAACCATACCATGCTGCTCTCCTCGCTCCCAGGCCAGTCCCCTTTATGGTCTACACACGGTATCACTTGCAACGGGATGTTTCATATTCATCTATTTCCAATGGTCATTAGAAATTTGTACACAACATCTCTCATTTGGTCGAACCAGTATCTTATGAGCAAGCCTATTCTGATCCTAAATGGGTTGATGCTATGCAAGCTGAAATCCGAGCACTTGAGGAAAATAATACATGGACGATGGTGCCTCTACCTGTTGGTCACCATCCCATTGGTTTCAAGTGGATCTACAAAATCAAATATCACTCAGATGGCTCTCTTGAACGATATAAAGCTTGGCTTGTTGCCAAGGGTTTCACACAACGTGAGGGCATAGATTACAAGGAAACTTTTGCTCCCTTTGCCAAACTCATTACTGTTCGTTGCCTCTTAGCTGTTGCTGCTGTTCAAAATTGGCATCTTCACCAAATGGATGTTCAAAATGCTTCCCTTCATGGTGATTTGATTGAGGAAGTTTATATGCAGCCTCCACCTGGATTTAGTCGACAAGGAGAGAATAATGTATGTCGACTCAACAAGTCTTTATATGGATTGAAGCATACATCTCGAAGCTGGTTTCACAAGTTCTCTTCATCCATTGCCAACATTGGGTTCAAACAATCAAAAGCCGATTATTCCTTATTTGTGAAGGTTAAAAACACATCTTATACTGCCATTTTACTTTATGTCGATGACATGATCATTGCAGGGAATGATGAGGCAGCCATATGTGATCTTAAACATTTTCTCAACACTTGCTTCAAAATTAAAGACCTCGGACCATTAAAATACTTTCTAGGAGTTGAGATTGCACGATCTAGGTCAGGCATCACCATTTGTCAAAGAAAACACACTCTAAACCTGCTGGAAGATGCCGGCTTACTTGGTGCAAAACCTGCAAAATTCCCAATGGAGCAGACCTTGAAACTTAATCCAATGGATGGTGATGCTCTTCATGATCCAACGCGATATTGTCGACTTGTTGGGAAGTTGATTTATCTACCAATCACATGACCGGAAATCACATACTCAGCTGTTACTCTCAGTCAGTTCATGCAGCTTCCAAGAAGACCTCACCTTGATGCAGTTCTTCGCCTCATTCGTTACTTGAAGAATGCACCAGGTCAAGGCCTCCTTTTTCCCACACATAGTTCTTTAAAACTCACAACTTATTGTGATGCCGATTGGGCTAGTTGTCAGGCTACAAGAAGGTCAGTTATAGGTTATTGTGTGTTCTTGGGAAGTTCCTTGATTTCTTGGAAAAGCAAAAAGCAACCCACTGTGTCACGGTCATCTGCTGAAGCAGAATATCGAGCAATGGCAGCCGTCACTTGTGAACTTACTTGGCTGAGATATCTTTTAAATGACTTGCATGTTGAACCCCCTGAACCAGCCAAACTGTTTTGCGATAACCAAGTGGCAATTCACATTGCAGCGAATCCAATATTCCACGAGCGTACAAAGCACATAGAATTGGATTGTCATACTGTTCAAGAAAAGATACAAAGAGGAGAAGTTAGAACCACACATGTACACACTGGACGACAAATTGCGGACATTTTTACGAAACCATTGGGACAAGCGACTTTTCATTCTCATGTCAGCAAGTTAGGTGTGATAGACATCCACACTCCAACTTGAGGTGGAGTATTAACGGATACAAATCTGTCAACATTGTTAATTGATAAATTAAAGGAATTAGACAAATTATGGAAGATTAATTACATTGTACAAATTATGTATATAATTCCTTGTAATATTACTCTTTGAACACATCAATATAGAGAACCATTTTTACAGTAAGCTTCTAATAGCCAGACTATAAGTGAATAAATTTATATTAAAAGGAAAAAACTGTCATGAATTTAGTTCTCAAAAAGTATACTAGAGTTAAGGTATTAGGTTGTCAATGTAACTTTACTTTTCATTTCTTTACTTACTTTTGCTTGTCTTTAAGGTATTCTTTTCATATCATTTAATCTTGCTTTGAAAAAAAACATATTAAATTCAAAACCTATGATTTCGTTAGCAGTAACAAATGTTACCAAAATTTAGACTGAAAACTTATAATATTGACAGGTGCACATTGGTGAAAAGTTAACGTGGTCACCAGGTGAAAAGTTAACGTGGTCACCAGAGCAAAAGCAATTTGGAATTTGATCCTTTGAAGCAAGCAATATAACATGGAAAATTTTCTTTATAATTGGTAGAGGATGTAACAACTATACACCAACTATTAGAGTAGCCTTTCTTCAAAGACTTTTTGAAAAAGTCAAAACGATCCATTAGCTGCCACCTGTCCCAAAGTATTCAATCAAATTTGACTGTCAGCTAATCTCTTCAGCTTCATGTGAACCAAGCTATTCTCTCAAGATGCTTTTTTAATAGGGAAATGACTCGTAATCGTCTCTACAACAATAGTTTATTATATGTGATTATTATGTTAGCGTCCCTGGGCGTGACATTAGACAAAAACCAAAAAAGATAAATAAATTTTTACGTGTATATATTTATATTTTTTAAATTCTGTTATGTAATTATACGTATTTTTTCTTTAATTCCATATACTACAGCACAATAAACATACAACTAGAGTAATAATTCTCCTAGTTTCTTTAGTTGCTTTTTAAATAACAATAATTTGTGAGATGAGATCTGCAGTCCAATTCTACTGTCCAAATGGCCGTTCATCCAATGAATTATTAACATGTCATCAATTTGATTGGTTAGTCGTAAAGTTAACGATGGTAAATTTGAGATGATATGTTAATTATTGATGACGTGTCAATAATTCAATGGATGGACAGTCATTTAGACAATAAAATTGGACAGCAAATCTTAACTCATAATTTGTACTCTTACTTCTATTTGATGAAAGCTTGAAATGATAATTCTCACTCGAAGCATCAGAAGCTTAAACCATTAAAATCGAACTAAATTCATAGAACCAATTAATACCAAAATTCAATAACAAGAACAATATGAACTTAAATTAGATAAAACCCTAAAATTTATACCTCATGCATTTCCAAA